TCCGAGGTCCCTTCCAGCCCTAATGTCTATGAAGTCTATAGAAACACATTTTTGAGAACATCTCTCAATTACTCCTTTGCATTTCTGTAGTATCTAATGGCACCATATATTTATAATTCAAGTTCAGAAAGTTTCTGCTTTTTTAAAATCTAATCTAAAAAAAAGGCCATTGTATATCAAACCTCCGATATAAATATCAACTTCAGGATACATAATCTGATGCATATGAAAAACCAGCCAGACTCAACCCTTGCCTTTGGTGTTCTCTACAGTTACAGATGGAAGGACTTAAGTGCCTCCCTACACTTTGTCTAGTGGAGCTCTTAACAAGCATTTTTAACTTATATGTATAGGTTTTCTTCCACTACTTATGAGAAATATTTTAGTAAATTTAAACTTCCTCCTCTCACCTATGTTGACACTAGTGCCGATCGATAAAAGTTGGGAAATAGCGGAATTGTTTTTGTTCTGACACCTATGGCTGCTATCAGTTCTGTAGAGAAAGTGCACATGTTATAGGAACCAGTCTTTCTGAATTTCTTTGTCATCATCTTTGTTTTGAACCTAAAGTATAGGCCAGTGGTCTCCAACCTTTTTAAGCAAGAGATCACCTTTGGCATTTAAAAGCAACCCAAGATCTACCATGCACCACTGCCACCTTGCCCCTTGCTCAGCAGGTAAGTCTGTGGGGAGGGAGGGGAGGGGCAGATTGAGGCCTAGGGAGAAAATATTATTTGATGGTGCACCTCCCCAGCAGGTAAGTGCCACCTGGCTGGGGCCCCACTCAACTTGCTCCTGCTTCTGTGGCACTGTCCCTCACCGTGGGGACCTTGACACAGCTCCTGCCCCTTTCCTCCCCCACAAGCTGACCTGCTGGGCTGGGACACACGCGTGGATACACGTGGGCACTGAGCCCCCCACCCCTGCCTTGGATCAACTCCAAGAGGCTCCGAGATCTACCAGTGGATCAAGATCCATTGTTTGGTAACCACTGCTCTAGGCCCTGCAAAGACTTATGTATGTGCATTAACTTGATGCGTGCGTATTGTCCTACTAAAATTAGATTTAAATTTAATAACTCATTCACCTAGACTAGGGACAGACATTCAAAAAGACTGAGCCTGAATTGATTCAATCTTTGCAGGTTAGTCTAAGCTGCAAAGCTTGAACCAATTTGGAGGTGGATACACATTCCCTTTTCATTCTAGAAATTCAGGCACATGCCTGTAGTGACTCAGGCTAGAAGCTGGGATGGGAGGTGGCACTAGAGCAGCCTTCCCTTCCACACGGCTGGGGGGGGGGCATGGTCAGGCCTCAGTAGAACCCTCTGATTAGGGAGCCCGCCCCCCACCTGAGCAGCCCAGCAGGGAGTTGATAACACAGTGTTTATCACCCCTAACTCAGTGTTATAAGCCCATTAAGAAAACAAAAGCTTTTCTCATTAGTTCAAGCACTTCTTAAACAACCTTTTTCAAGGAAGGAATGGAGGGACTTTACCAGCTACCTGTTGATTAGCTCCAAAAATCCCTAAGCCAACGCTGTGCTGTCTGCCTTTGTCCTGTCTTCCACAGCACAGACTGTAGCCAGCATGTGGTATGCTAGCTATTGCTGAGAGGTGTCTATGTAAGGCAGAGGGGAGGGGGAACCCCTACTTCAGCAGGGAGTGTTGAGGGGGAATGGGAGGAAGCCAGGCAGGTGCCCTGTACCTGCAGTCTCTGCTGGAGCTGCAGCCAGGGAGTAGAGGGGAGGGGCCAGCCCTGCTGTGGAGCAGGGAGCCCCACCCATCCCAGAGAGCATCCCAGGATGTCTGATTTAACTGAAACCAGCTAGGGGTCTGGGACAGACATTGCATAAACCAGTTTGAACCAAATTGGTTAAAACTGATACTATATTCAGGCAGGTTTATCACAAACTGGTTTCAGCCATTTTTGAATTGGTTTATGTGCACTGAACATCTGTTCTGTTAAAGGTTAGGTAACTTTGGATATCCTTATTCTGCTATCACCAAAGGATGAAAGGCAGAGATAAGTGGCTGGGTCCTTTTCTGAAATGTAAGAAACAATTTTTCTGAGTTGTAAAAGGTGGAGGAACCCCCACTGTTCAATCTGATTTTTTTTTCCACTTTTCCTCCCCAGTACAGGGCAGAGTAGAAAACAGTATGCAATGGTTATAAGCCATCAAGTTGCACTGCAGGGTAATTACTACCTAGATAGTTAGGCTTGTTGATAGACTTTAGAAGTAGCAAGTTAAAATAACTGTCAATGATTTAATATCATTGTGCACTAAACACTAGGATGTCATAGTAAGATAGCAGAATGTTCTGCTATCTTTACTTAATTAAAAAACAACATGGCTCATTTTTCCTCTTGGGAGAAGTATTTTTCTTGAGAAGGCTGTATAAAAACATTTTAAAAAGTGGTTCTGACTTAAGTGTTAACTCTGTAGTTGTAGATAGCAATTTTAGATACTATTAGAATGCCATGATAATGATCAGCTCTGAAAAGCATAGTTACAGAAAAGGAAGTGCAAAACAACATTTTTTCCTTCCATTATTAGCAGCACGCTTCTTCCTTGTGCTGTGCATAATCTCACAATACTAGAATACTAGTAGAGTTGAATGCTTTGTCTGAGACCCACAATGAGCTGTAGATCCCTCCCCATCTCAGTTCCTTTGCATTAACCTCAGCAGTAAAGACAGAACCATCAACAGTTTCTCCTTGCTTTGCCTTGTGTCTTAACTAGCCAAGAAACTGGAGACTGTGTAACCATTTAGTGATAATGTATTACTTTTTAAAGAAAACTTATAACTATTTATTGTATTGGAGCTGATTTTATAGCCAATTTTCCCAGCCATTTTGCATGGACTTGCATTTCTTGCATTTTACAGGACTTGCATTTCCTGCAAAAAATTAGCATTATGACAATCCATTTTAGACAAGTTTATTAAAGGCTTATTTGAATCCAAATCCCAGGTCAGGTTTTTTTTTTTAATATAGCTCCAACAGGTCTCCTAATGTATGTAGCATAGCACCTGAGAAAAATAAGCCTTGCTTTTTAGTTCAAATGGGAAAAATTATGTTTACAAATGCCCCCAAATAGTCATGTCTACAAAGGAACAGGTCTAGAACCTGCACTGACTTGAAATCT